AACACTGCCGGCCAGTGGGGGTTAGAGGGATAACAAACACACATACACATACACAACCACGGAAACTTTCCGTCTGAGCCTGTTTTCGATGGATCCGCTTCACTTTCTCGTCGCCACTTTTATGTATTCACTTTACGATTTTAAATAACGATTCTAGTAAAAGAGTATTTTAAATATTTTCTTGATATTTATCACTTGTAATAAATTCAGAAAAAAATATAAATTGCCTCCACTTACGGCTGAGCCTCAAGTTCGAATGACTTGGATTTATTCTGTATCTGAGGAGAGAGTTTTTTGGTACAGTATCTCTTTATCATCGAATACACTGTTAACTTTATTTAATCGAAAACTGGGCTTCGACAGTCACCTTAGGCATGTTCATTTTAATCAAATAGGAAATGAACTCAGGATATTTTTTAAGCTGCATTTCGTGCGATTTCGGATTTTGTTCAAAAAATGCTATTTAAACACATTTAAAATCCGCATTCGTGTTTTTGCTAGAGTATTTGAAATGAAACTTCAGAATACAATTGTTTTTGCTTTATTTGAGTTTTTCCGTTCCATCTGCTGCAATCGACCGCGTTACGAAAACAAGCCAATCGATTGGACTTTTTTCTAACAATCTGTTAAAATGAACACTTTCTCATTTTTCAATAGGTCACTATTGAAAATTTCACAAATTTCCAACTGTTGCAATGCTGATCAAAATTATCACCAATTTCCTGCAAAAAGCGCTTCCCCTAACACAGATTCCAACATCTTATTCCATGCGGTCTTGGCGAACGGTGCTTTTTCAATCACCGTGTGTGGTGGTGTCCGGTCGGTCGTCATCATCATCAGCAGCAGCAGCAGCTACAGCAGCAGTGCTTTCGGCGCGTGGCGTTGTACATCTTTTGTTCCAGTACCCAACGAAAGGCTGCCCGCAAGCAGCGAGCTGCAGTCCACATGAGCGTTCATTCACCGAAGAAGGAGGAAGAAGCCGCACCGCTTCTGATCGGATTCAGTAGCTCTTCGTGAGTCGATGTGGGCCAGCTATGCCAAGCGCGTCACCATCGTTCCAAACAACATACAGGTCGCTAGCCTCATCTGTGTTGAACACCCTAATAGCTCTGCATTACTCAACCATCACGACAAAACGGTCCTTATCAGGATCACCATAAATTATTGTTGTTTAAGAGTTAATTTTCATTGAATGTTCACTCGCCTTGCTGCCAGCTCTTTGATAATGTACCCAGCGACCAAACGTTTGAGGTCGAATGCGTAATAGTATTGAAGTGGCACAGACAAATTTTCGCTATGATTGAATACCACATGACCTTGTTTAATACAGGAACACTTCGAATTAAGGTAAGGTTTTCTCCAAAACACTAGAAAAAAGCAATTTATATGATTGATCGCGAATATCTTGCGATTGGAAAATTTTAGCAAAACAGTTAAAATTATTTTGTAATTTTACATGAATTCTCATGCACATAAAAAGAGCCATGTAAGATTAAATTGATTTTTAAATTTACACGACTTGAAATTTACATGCATGTAAAATTAAACGTCACTTGAGTTTTACATGGATGGCTTAAGATGGGCTCACTTTGTAATTCTACTGGACATTTAGAATTACACGCATTAGGCTTTTTAAACGAGTTTGCATAAAATCGAACTAATTGTCAAGTACGTGGAATTATCACCCATGTGGAATAACCCGTCTTCACGGCACAGTACATACCCCACACTTCTACCGCTGCATCAAAACGATCAGTCAGGAGAAAAAAGGAACCACGAGCGCATTTTGGAACGTTTTTCTATTTTTCCATTTCCATTTTTTTGATTTTCTGCACGAACTAAAAGTGCTCTCTGTGTAAAACCGCTTTAATCAATATTTTGCCTGTCATCCATTTTCTATTTGTGGACGCGCGTATGCACGATAAATTGTTCAACATAACCAAAACTGAGCGCACAAAACAAAACAAACCGAGCGGAGAAAAAAACTAATCGAATAATCGGTCCGTCCGCCATATTAGCGTTCTCAATGTTTGTTGATTTAAATTTACACGAGCATGTAAATTTATTGGTTTTATCGTTGAAAATCTGATGTTCTTCGATAAGTTTTTACATCACGTTGTGATATTACACTGCAAGAGAAAATTAATCGAACAATCGTGTAATTTTATGAGTTTTATCATGTTTCTATTATGTGCATGATTTTTAATGTAAAATTAAATTAAAACATAGTCAGCGATGTAATTTTAAATAGTTTTGGTTTACATGTCACGTAATATTCCTTATTTTTTGCTGTGAAGAGATTCCTCCAATCAATTTTTTTATTTCTTAACTATCTATCGAATAAACCAGAAATTTCGTGAAATTTTGTCATTAGAAAACGAAGCGTTTCCGGGGTGGGAAAAAGAGCTTTCCCTAACACAGTCGCCAAATATTGATACCGAGCACGTAATCCAACGTCATATCTACGGTTTTGTCTTGGATACAACCACATTTTCCATGCACATTCAGGTACTACCATAACTCGAAATCCTATCCTGACTCGTTGTTTGCTTGAATATCTATTTAGAAAGAGTTTACCTTTTCCCTTGTTTTTATTGTTTTGTATGTCTCTTTCTCTTCCATTTTCTCTTATTCTCTCCCATTCTCATATTTACTCACGCTGCATATAGCACTGCAAGGATGCTGATTGCGATGTATAAATATGTTAGCGTGAGTCCATAATCGGGGAACATCGCTATGCCATTTATTTCGAGAACGAGTGAAGATATCGCAAGATGGACAAAATCACGTGTTTTCTTTTAGAAGCATATGTTTTATTTGAAAAAGTTCATCAATTTTTGCAGCACTGTACCCAATATGTACTTTTCTAAAGCGTTTTTCTTAGATAATTATCGGCTCCTTAAAGCTCCCACGAGTGATCCTTTTAAAGTAATCAAATTAAAGTAAACTTTTGCATAATGTGAGGTAGACATAAATCCTCATGAACTCACAAAGCCACATTACGGACGTGATCAGGATTCTCCTAACTTTACGATTATGTGGCAACAAATTATTTTAGGAAAAAGTAGCACCGGATCCCTCGGTGGATTATTTTCAAACAGGTGTCAAATGAAAGGTATATTTTTTTAACTTGTGATAGATTCAGCGAGGTTTATTTTTTTTTAAACACACACCGTGAAAAGTTCAATTACAGTCCATGCGTTTTGAATACGACTCAACAGGTACAATGGTAGGATTATGATAAAAACACATCGCAAGTGATTATGAAATAAATTTCGGCATAAAAGTGTCGAAACACAATCAATGTTCAAATCGTCAACAGGATTCGCTTCGATTCACGATAGTTTATCATCTGCTAGGTGTTCTAACGTCCAGTTCCACCGTCATATTCTTTTAATGCCTAATGCATAAATATGTATTAAAAACGATGATCTTAAATCAATTCAAGATTGTTTAATTCGAAATAACTTCTATTTAGTAGGTACATCTATAAAGAATGAACTATTTACTATTTACCCTGAATAAAACGGTCCCCTTGGTTTGAACTGTAAAAAGTTTGTTAACAAATCCGAGCCCGTATCTGATTCTCAACGTAAGTGCAAAGACGTTCCCCTGGGAAGTAATCAGCGTGATTAAAGTTTTGTGAGATTGTGATATTACAGAAATATGGACTGGGAATCGAAGCGGCTCGCAGTTTTCAAGCAGCTTTAGACACAGAAGTCGGTCGGTGAGATAACCAAGCTGCTTGGTGTGAATCGAAAGTTTGTCTGGCGATGCAAAAAACGATTGGAGGATACAAGCGGAGCTTCAAGAAGACATGAGTCAGGGTGACCCCGTTCTGTTCGGACACGGGCGTTGATAAAGGCGATGGCCAATAAAATTCGTCCGAATTCGGTAAGGTCTATGAATCAAATGGTCAAGAAAAATCAGGTGTCTGGTATGACGATGCAAACCATGGTTAAAAAGGATCTTGGCCTTAATCCTTCTAAACTGCAACAACGTCAACTTCTCTCAGAAGCAGCAAAGAAGAAACAAAATCCTGAAGAAGTGGCTCGCGGATAACCCTGACGTCTTGGTGATTTATTCGGATGGGAAGAAATCTTCTGTTTTTCGCATTCCGGATGGGGTAAACATAAATCAGAAGGTAAATCTGGACTTTTGACAACAGAAGGTGTTGCCGTGGGTCCAGTCGGAGTTCACAGGTACAGAGATTTGCTTCACCCAAGATTCTGCACCTGCCCACGCAGCCAAACGCGTTCAAGCGTGGCGTCAACAGAACTTCGATCATCTTTGGTCGAAAGACATGTGGCCTCCTTCTTCTCCGGATATTAACCCGCTAGATTTCGCAATGTGGGGCATCATAGAAAGGGCGACTAATTCTAAGCCAAGAAGCAATAAGGACGCTCTTATGGAAATCGTGCGAGCCAGCTGCTCCAGTGTTGCTGATCGTTTGACGAAGGTTATTTGAGCAAAAGGCTCCAATTTTGAATAAGCTGATGCTGAATAAATCTACACTGACTCTCGAATATTATGATCAAATTTCGTAAAACTTACTTTTGGAAAAAATGAAACATTCCAAATTTTAATGGGGACCGTTTTATTTAGCCACCCTGTACACTCGAGCTAAGGATATAAAATCAAAATCAAATTGATTGTTCTCTTCAAAATATGAGGCTTAATCAACAATTGGCGCAAATTTAATTGTAAATTTTAAAAATTTACCTCATCAGTAGTTTTATTAGGCGATTTTCCACTGATTTTAATTGATTTGCCGGTAACCAAAAATTATCATGACACCAAAATGTCAGGAAATCTAGCATTAGCTCTCGCGTCCAACGAAGCGTGTTTACTCAACCAAAAACGTCCACCAAATAGGAATAGAGAGCTACACGCCCGAATTTTCCGCCTTCTAGGTAGAACCAAAATTTGTTCATTGCAAATTACCCGTGACCATATATTTTCATTTATTTTTTTATCCTTCTCTGCATTTTCATTTCCAGATATCGAAAATATACCGGTGGTGAAATACGTGGCCGTGGCAGGAAAAAACATTACCCTCAGCTGCCCGGGGGTAACCGAACACTCGCTAGTGGACAGCCTGGTCTGGCGAACCACGCAGACCATTGCTGAGCTAGTGAACGGGGAACCGATGACCACCAGTCTGAGAGTGAGTATATCATGCATTGAGGGAGACAGCTCTAGTACTAGTTTGTTTAGCCAGCTTAATTCTTATTTTTTGCTGTCATGAGCTGAAACTGTGCAAATGTGGTACGCATTGGTTGGCGATTTATATTGGGTTTGGTAAAAAACTGGACAACATTCATCGCTTATGCTTTAAATATCTCCTAAATATCTTGGATGTGCAGAAACAGATTATCAACTTATGTCAGAAACAGACAAAAGATAAATCAAACGAATCGTAAATGGCTGGGCTTGTATAATGATCTGTCTCCGTCTCCGACCAGTTTCTCCACATCGGCAACATTCAACACAATTGATTGGCCCAGTTTCAAATCAACTAATCAATTAATCCCATCTTTCTTGATAGATTGCCGTAAGATATGAAACCAATCGAATTCTTTTTCCATTCCTCTAGCTCATCTGGAAGCAGACACAATTTCCATTGAAACAATCAATTACGATAATGGAAGCTAGCAACTAATCATCCTACCAGGCTACTCATCAACCCTTATCTAGATTTATTTCTCGATCTCGTTCGGTGGCTTGGGTTGGGTTTTTATAAGGATGATGCTTGCACTTTCTAGTATAAATAGGGCAAATAATAAACTTTTCGAGAGTCTTCGCGAATCCAACGCATGGACTTCCTACAAACTAACTCGAGACTATAGCCCAACTTTATTTGGATCTATTTCCTGGAAAAACTGCACCAAAAGAAATTCAAGAAGAAGGAAATCCTACGAATATCGGTTCTTCCGAAAAGCTTTAACCTCTGCTGGAACAAGTTTATGACTAAATTAGATTAAAGTGAAGCACTAATTACACATCGAAGTTTTACCCGAGCTGCTTGTTCGTTCCGCCATCGCAGCTAGCTGGGTGCCAGCTGAAATAGTGGTAATCAGACCCGGTCCGGACCTACTCAAATCTCATTCGTCGTCTTGTTTCTGGTGAGAAGGTTTTTGACAGACAATCACCAGAAGAACATTTGACGAGGAGAAGAAAAAAAAGCTCATTAGGCTTCACTCGGACTTCTAAAGAACCAACATAAAAAATGGTTTCTCTTTCGAAATCAATGGACGTCGTCGTCGTCGTCGTCACTTGGCAGCTTTTCCTCGATAAAACAGAAGCAGCAGTGGCAGCTGGACGACAGGTCCAACTTTCATCTTCATCATGAATCTTGTTAACATGGAAATTTATCTTCACCGGCTTGCAGCAGCAGCTTCGGAAGCGACGGGGACCATCAACAGCAAACTGACAAAAACGAGATTAATGGCAAGTTGTATGCTTTTTCGATGTTTTTCAAAGGCAAACTCTGGGTTGAATCCTCAGTGATTCACCTTCCCTGCTAGAATATTTAATATGTTTCCATGTGCTTTCAGCCCTGATTTCACTCATCCACTCCTGGAAATTTCTACTCCGCAAGAGGAGAAACGCCATCGGAACAGTAATTATCATGTTCTTGTCGGCCTTTATGGAAAAAAAAATTGCCATCATTATCGGAAAAGAGGGATAGTTTTTCCTACCACCCGGTTTCCTTCCATCCAACCATTCCAACAAACCACAAGCAGCTCATCACATTTTCACCTTCTAATTACAGCATCTGAACAACTGATATTCATCTTGCTCCCATCTGTTTCCTCTCTTCCTTTGTACTATCTGACAGATTACACTGTTACCTGATAATTTTAGTCTTCATTTTAATCCGGCTTTTGCCTCCGATACCGACGAGTATAGCTGCCTTGTGAACGATCGACAAAGCCCGGAAGCGCTGGTCGATTTACTGGTGCAAGGTACATTTTTCGACTCATGCAGCTCATTAGGTAATTGAACAGTAATTGATTCTCAATTTACAGATGTACCAGATCCACCGGGACGACCCCTGGTGGTAAGTTTTACGTCCAGGTCGGTAAATCTGTCGTGGGCGTACATACAGGATCCGCGAAATTCACCGACCACTCATTTTGTCATCGAAAGTAGGTGAGTCTGACATTTGGTTTTCATATTTAATTTTTGATTTGATATGGTTTTTATTCTTTTTGAAATACAATAAAATTCTCAGCTGTAATATAGTGCACAAAAAATTAATGGTTGCGGTGAGGCAAAATGTATCTATTGGATAAAATGGTCCTTCGTGGCATATTATAGCTTTCTATATGATAAATTGCTTAACAAAAAAAAAATATAGTAACTTGCTTGCTTCAGAAAAGCAAGCTCCGAATATAAATTCTTAAACTATCTCGAATAAATTATTTGCGAGAAATCAAAGCTTGACCAACAATTGAAAAAGGCTTATCAGCTTTTGTAATCAAAACATGTAATGTCATTTTCACGCGAACAAAAGCCTCGCCTACACAAATCAACAACACCATCGGAAAGGGGAGAGTTTCCCATACCTGAAGAAGGTATTGTTGGTTTGCATAGGTGAGCTTCGGTTCTAGGGAAAGAGCATTAGACCCATTCCATGAAGCTATGCACCACGAGTTTTCAACTACATTACTTATTTTTTGTCACGTTTACTTTAGCCAAAGCTTGAAAATTGTTAACATAGCAGTGTTAAAGTCCAAACAATGTTGTTCGACACTGGGGTGGACTGTATCACACCGGACAGACATTTTCTTCGGATTTCGGTACTTTGTTACATTGTAGTGTGATAAAAGAGATAGTGTGCTTATGTGCTATGGGAAACGAGCTGATTGTAAAACAAATTAGGATAGGGTGACCAACTTCTTATTTTGTGCCAACGGCCGCCTTGAAATGTTAATTTCGACAAATTACTCCTACTGTTTCTAACAAAATCTACACTAATCACTATATCTAACATATATTTTTCACGATCCTTTTTTTAACTACTGGCTTCCGTCCGCATCTCACTTGGCTTCGTAGGCTCTGGCGTCACTGCTGATGATGCGCTCGAATGCTGTTGCTTACATCATGCCACATACCATGGAAGTGTTGGAGAAATCAATTAGGGTGCAGTATTTCCTAGTCCTGGCTACGGTAGGACATATACCATTTTTTATTTACCTAGGAACACTGTTCTGTCGCCTGCTTCCTTCTTCGGTAGATCTTGATTTCTTCACTTGCCTAGGAGTGACGCTTCCGACCCGTCCGATCGGAGGAGCACCACTCTGTTTAGCTCCGGTTGATTCCACGAATCTTGATTCCTTGCTTCCTGGCTCAACTACCAGCGACTGATGTTGTTGCGTCTTGGGGTATCACACGGAATGACGGATGACTTCGGAATGTCGGGATGTCCACGATGCCTGACTCGGGCGCCTCCTGGTCTCCACGAGTGCCTGATTGCCCTACAAAATGAGAGGGGCCTTTTTCAACTGAATTACAGAATTGCAGATTAACTTGTCTGACGCGGAGGCCTCCGGGCCTCCGCGAGCACCTACAGCGCCGATGACGACGATCCGTTGATCATCGCGATACTCTATGCCAGTAGAATGGTTAGCAGAATGGTGTGACGACATCGACTTCAGCGTTGAAGAACCACCGGTACGGATTGGCCAAACTCGTTGATGGTATTGGATGTTGGGCTGAGAAAGAGAGTGCCATGGATTGCTCCCTTCGTTGGATTGGTTGTACACACCGATTCTCTACTTCTACGACGACAGAATGATTTTGGACAGTAACTGGTTTTGGACATACTGACAGATGCTGACACGGTTGTGCGAGGCTTTACAGGACGATACTGATATTTATTTCAGGATTGGACAGGACATCATTATGGACGTTTAACATGCTTGACTGACTGTCCGACATTACTGATAACTGGACTGGTTGAACTGGTTTGTGGATCCCGAGTTGTTCGAATAGTGAACGGAACCGCGCCGAAGCGCTGAAGCGAAGGAGTTTCAATTCTCCTCAGAAGTGGACACAGCTTGATTGTCCCGAATGGGAAGGACGCATATCTTTGAGATAACTCTCCGGAATTGACCGTCCCCCGTTCTCACGGTCACTACGCGAATATTACCATCGGTACCCGCGTGAACCTCTACTACTCGACCCAACTTCCATTTCATCGGTGGAAGATTGTCCTTCTTCACGAGAACCATTGTATCAACGGAGATGTTATTGCGTCGACGAGTCCACTTGGTACGGTTATGGAGATCGGACAGGTATTGCGAGGACCATTTCTTCCATATCTGCTGCACGAAGTTGCCACAGTGAAAGACGATTCTCCGGGATATGACTGAGGTCCGGTTCTGGAACAGCTGTTAGCGGTCGCTGAACGAGAAAATGACCAGGCGTCAATGCTTCAAAATCCGTTGGGTCATTGCTGATCGGCGTCAACGGACGGGAGTTGAGGATCAGGATTTTACGGCAGCTTCCCAAAGGCCACCAAAATTGAGCGAACGTGCTGAGATGAATCGAAATTCTATCTCGTCTTCTTCAGCTTCATTTACGATCGACTGCTGGAACTGCTGGTTACGGAATAGTTCGTGTTGTTCGTCGAGTTTGCGCCTTGCTCCGACGAAGTTGAGAGCGTTTTCACACATTACCAGGGTTGGTTTGCCTCTTCGTGCGACGAAACGCTTGAATGCTGCGAGGAAGGCTTTGCTTGTTAAATCTCCCACCAGCTCCAGATGAACAGCCGTTGTGACCAAGCAGACGAAGATTGCGACGAAATATTTACGTGGAGTTGTTCGACGATTGGGATAGGCAACCAGAAAAGGTCCACAGTAATCGACACCAACTTTCAGGGACGGTGGCGCGGGTGTAACTCGTTCCGACGGCAAATCTGCCATCAGCTGATCCAACACTTTCGGTCTGCATCGGAAGCACGGTACGCATTCGTTGGTTACGGTGTTGGTTAATCTTCTGATCTGCGTGGGCCAGTACTTCTCCCGTACTCTACTTATGAGAAGCTGTTGCCCAGCGTGGAACAATTTCTGGTGGTAGTGTATTACTACTAGTTTGCTCAGGGGATGATGATAGCTGAGAATCGCTGGATGCTTGCGACTCGCTGGAATAGGTGCCTTGGATAGCCGGCCACCTACGTACAGTACCCCGTCAACGAGAATTGGTGTGAGTTTGTTGATCGATTATGACGGCTTGACTTGATTTTCGCTCTGAAGTGCAGAAATCTCCTCCGGAAACGATTCCCTCTGAGACATAATTTCTTGGAGTTCAGCGTGACTGAGATACCCATTGTGTCTTTCTTCGCGATGGTGACAGTTGTGGATGAAGCGACGAATCCATGTGTGGCTTGGACTGTGCTGGAATTGCGACTGCACTTCGCTCTTCTAGCAGTAATTGCTAGAAATCTTCCTCAGGACAAACCCGCCGGCCAGGTGCTGCGGTCTCGACGCAGCCATGGTGGACCTTCAAACCAAATCGTCCTGTACTGAAGCTGAGCCGGTATCATCCCTCGTGAAACGATGTCAGCTGGGTTCTCCAAGCCAGCGACATGATTCCAATCGAAACCCTTCGTAATGTTCTGAATCTCGGACACACGATTCGCTACGAACATCTGCCACCTCGATGGCAGCGAAGATAACCAATGCATTACGATTGTCGAGTCTGTCCAGAAGCTTGCGGTGTGCGGAATACGAATGCCTTCTCGTACAGATGACTGAGGAGCAGTGCGGATGACAACTCGAGGCAAGGGGTGGTTAACTTCTTCTTGTTGCGCTTGAGATCCTCCAGTGGTGCTACTCTCGATTTGGAAATCAGCAGCCGAACTTCTACTGAGCCATCCGACAGTGTACAACGCATGTAGAGGCATGCACCGTATGCCTTGTCTGATGCGTCACAGAAACCGTGCAACTCGACCGAAATTGCATCAGATGTGTATCCTATCCACCGAGGAATTGAAAACGACAAGAGGGCTGTCAAATTCATCCTATACTCCTGCCAAAAGTTCTGCATCGCTTCGGGCAGTGGATCATCCCAACCGCACTGCTGCTTCCACAATTCTTGGAGAAATATCTTGGCAATGACGACAACTGGACCCATCAATCCTAACGGGTCAAACAGGCGAGCTACTTCTGCGAGAACGACGCGTTTCGTGAGCACTGCTTTGTTTTCCCACTTAGGAGAATGGTATCGGAATTTGTCTGAATGCGGCTCCCACAGTAACCCCAAAGCTTTCACTGGTGAAGTTGAGGAATCAAGCTCTAAAGTGGCACGAACATCGAGGAAATCGGATGGCAATTCGGCTAACAATTCCTTGCAGTTGGAGTTCCACTTTCGCAGGTTGAATCCACCTGATGAAGTTAGCGTGATCATTTCCTTTGCCAGCTGCTTCGCTTCGTCGACGTTGTCCGCTCCAGTCAGCATGTCATCAACGTAAAAATCTTCCTTCAACACCTTAGCTGCGCGAGAAAAAGCGAGAGCTCCTTCTTCTGCCAGTCGCTGTAAGCACTTTGTCGCCGAGTATGGAGCAGATGCAGTCCCGTAAGTGACAGTTGCTAACTCGTACGTTCGGATTGGTTCGTCAGGGGAATCTCGGTAGACGATCCGCTGTAGGCATCGATCGAGTAGATAGATGAGTATCATCCGATACATTTTTTCCACATTCGCTACAATGGCAATGCGGAACAAATGGAATCGGAGTGTGATGGCGATCAAATCCTCCTGAACTACAGGTCCAACCATTAGCGCATCGTTGAGTGATACACCGCTGCTGGTCTTACAGGACGCGTCGAAAACGACACGTAGCTTTGTTGTTGTACTATCCAGTTTGAAAACTGCATGGTGGGGAAGATAGTACATAGGAAACTCCTCTTTGACGTCCGGAACTTGCACCATGTGACCAAGTCGCTCGTACCCGTGGATTAAATCTGCGTACCCTGCCTTCAACTCGGGATTCAACTGTAACCGCCTCTCCAAGCCCAAAAATCTCCTTTTCGCTATATTTCTGGACTCGCCGAGCTGAGTGATGATGAATTCACGCCTTGGAAGTGCGACGATAAATCTGCCTGCATCATCACGATTGGTTGTTTGATCGAAGAATGCTTCACACGCCG